TTTCTAATTTTCATGAGAAGTCTGGCTGCAGCGTTTTGGATCAGCTGAAGGCTTTTAACTACAGTTTGTGGACTTCCTGATACAATTACAATAGTCCAGCCTTGAAGTAACAAATAGGACTAGTTTCTCAGCATCACCCCTGGACAGGAGATTTCTAATTCTTGCAATATATCAAATATACAAAATTCTAGAAACCTCTTTGATATGGGATCTAAATGACAGGTCCTGATCAAAAATAACACCAAGATTTTTTTACTTCATCAACAATCATCTGAGATTGGTTTAATCCCATCCAAGTGAAGTGACTGACTAATCAGCTTCTTTTTCAAATACTCTGGTTCAAAGACTGTAACTTCTGTTTTGTCTGCATTCAGGAGCAGAAATATGCACATCTATATCTAAAAACAGCAGTCTGTACTGTATGTAATTCCTTGAAAAGGAATGATATAGCATAAAGGAAGGGCAACAGACTTATGCACAACCAGGCATCTGCGTATATACTGTATGTCTGTGGTCTGGTATACATGAGCTATTCTTACTGTTTGTAGTTGAATAAATGCTTTCAAACCTATTCGGGAATTAATAGACTATTAATAGAAGAACGGTTTCACCTCAAAGCAACTGTATCTTGAAACCAATCTCTATCCCTTTTTGAAACTAAATGAAATGAAAAAATTTAAATCACAAAAACAAGTGGGTTTTTGGCTTCATTATATTGTTCATTTAGTCTAATATTAAAAGACAACTCATTTTATTTCAAATACTAAAAAATGCAATAATTTGTATTTAGTCATACTGACATAATTTAACTATGAACTTTTATATCTTAAAGCTAGTGTCATCATTAGGAGCATCTAATGGTCAGACTGCTGCGACATGAACTGCTAACCCCACCTTCCAACAATAGACCCTTCTCTGTCTATGGCACAGTTATGTCAGAGTGTTAGCTGGAGGCAGCCAATACCTACAACACCTACAAGACCCAAGCTACATGCTCGTTTTCTAGACTTGGGGCAGCTATTCAGAACCTTGGATGGCCCTCTGTTTTTCAGTTAGCTAAGTGTAGAAGTCGTCTCACTCAGCCACAGGGGATCCTGTTAGAACCTCCATCCATTGGAGTTAATGTGCCAACCAACCTGGTTCCGTCCTTTTTAAAGTTGGCTTCTATAAATAACTGTCCAGGCCACAAAAGTAAAAAAAAAAAACTTTAGGCTACCTATTCAGATAAAACCAGATTTTCTACAGAGCAAACTTGCTATTAACCCTTGTTAAAGTGCACAAGGGGAATCTTTCTGCCTCCAGCTAAGCTCCACCCATAGAAATGTGTTGCAATGTTTACCAATTGAAAAGAGGTCTATACGGCGGCTGTCAGGGTACAAAATGCCATCTTCAAAGCCTTCATCAACCATATTGTCAAGTTATGACAGGGTTTGTTAATACAATTTTATAGTAGAATTTACATAGACCTCTACATAAATTAGACCTAAAGTCACTAGTTTGTCAACTTAGTTCAGTAAAACAAAGATGTCTGCTTCAATAACTGTGAGATCTGCTTCTATGTAATTATAAATATATATTTTTAAGGCTACAAATACATAATAACTGAGACCTTTAGTTCTTGGATGATAATGACTAGCATACTTTTGTATCAGTTGTAAATCCCTGTAATTATTAAACAGTGCAGGTTTAAATAGCACCTCATATTTTTCTTGGTATTCTGTAATGCCAGCCTTTCAATGCTTTCTCTGAATTTCTTCGTATTCCAGTGTCATTTTAAGCAAAATCATGTCAAATCAACTGTTACATTAAACTAGCTAGTTCAAGCTACATTTTTGGTAGCAGTATTGCCTAATAGCTTTCCTTATGTTTTTGTGGCATTTTTATGTTGAAGTACTTTACTAGTGGTATCTGTAGCATGTGGTTTCTGAAAGTTACAAGGTTCTTTAAAATTACTCTGAAAATTATACAGAAAAGAATTATTAGAAAATTTAATTTGTACTTTTGAATACTTGTGTACTAAAGTGTTCCTCAATAATTTAACTTGAATAACTGCATGAGTCGATTGCAATCAACTGGTTTTCCTAAGATAGAAACCTTTGAATCAATTTGACTGGATGATCTGGTTGAATTGAAAAGTGCCTTGAGATGAGATGTGTTGTGAATTGGCGCTATAGAAATAAACTGAATAGATGTTTGACAGACTTTTACTTGAAGTTGATTAAGTTGACTTTGAGCATCAACACTTTTACTCAAGTACTATAGTTGTACTTTGTCAACCACTGCAAGTAATAGATGCTCGTACAACCATATTCTGCTCTAGCTTTAACCCATAAAAGGTTGTGTAGCTTTGAAAGACTCCAGCAAAGTCTTTCCAATCTACTCTTCACCATTACAGTATTTCTGAGTTGCTAAAACACTAAAATCCATTCGCAAAACCAAAGTTGCAAGTGTACAAACCACTTTATTAATTGAAGCACACAGTTTGTAGAACTTTAAACTCTTCTCATGTGGTTAGACACAGCTAGCAAATCGTAATCGCTCTTTGTGCAAAACTGTAAACACATTGTCATTCAAAAAGCACATGTAGCATTTTGGTCCACTTCAACTCAAAACGGCACAACACAGCCCCAAAAGTGAAATACAAGTAACACACTGTTGTCATCTGTAACACACAAGCACTCAAAATTTAACACACCTGTTTCAAATCAGTAATGTGTTGCACCCAATCAGTAATGAGGATATAAAGCCATGTGAAATCCAAATGGCTTGTGTGATTTTCACAATGGAGGGAAGGAGAGAAGGTGGAAGTAGAAGTGGACGTGGAAGAGAAGGAAGAGGAGGAGTAGGAGGAAGAGACAGAGGAGGAGGAGGAGGAAGAACAAGAGCCATCATTTCCAATGAAATTAGAGCAACAATCATACACCATGTTCTGGTTCATGGAATGAGTATGAGGGAAGCAGGACTATGTGTTCAACCAAATATAAGCAGGTTCTCTGTGGCCTCCATTGTCAGGACATTCAGAGAACACAACCGGTAAGTGTACTATCATTTGTGGTCCCTCAAACTTACAGTACAGTATGTACAGTTGGGGAATGTCTCAGTAAATTACTGTGACATCGTAATTGGCCCTTTTCTTTTTTACAGTAAAACTGATAATAGTATTACATAAAAATATATATTTTATGTATTTTACATATTTGGTTACATTGCACTAGGTCTGTCTGTACAATTCTAACAAGATGTTTTATTTGCTAGAATTAAAAGACTGCCACATGCCGGTGGAAGGAGAGGTATATTCTCACAACAGCAGGAGACCATTATTGTCAATAATAATCTCATTCGTCTGCAAGAAATACAACAGCGAGTGGAAGACAACAAGAACTTTGAAGGAATCAACAGTTTGAGTCTCTCCACAATTGACCGTGTCCTGAAACGCAACCTGATAAGTCTCAAACAACCCTACAGAGTACCATTTGAGAGAAATTCTGAGAGGGTAAAAGAGCTACGATATCAATATGTACAAGTAATATGTAATGTCCAGAGATTATACAGCACTTTTGAGTT